AGTTACTTTTTCAGTAACTGTAACTGTAACGAATTACTTTTCAGAATCAATAACTTGTAACGGTAATTAATTACTTTTTGAAAGAGAAAAACTGTAATTGTAATTAATTACTTTTACAAAGTAACTTTCCCATCCCTGATTACATCATATATTGAGCATAATACACCGAATAAGCGCATTATTTCAAAACAATCGTTATATGTCACATGAAAACAGTATTACAAAATGATAATTCAGTTTAAACAATAAAAATACGATAAATAAATAGTATATATGATTTCCGAAACTTTCATAATATATTCGAGAAATATGATAGATTTTGGAAATCTATTAATAACTTTTCTTCTAAGAGGGGCCTTTTTTTATAACTTTGCACACACGTTCTACACAATATTAGGAGATTATTTGCATAGTTTAAAAAAAAGGCCTCTCTCTCTCTCTCTCTCTCTCTCTCTCTCTCTCTTAGAAAAAAAGTTATAAACAAATTAAGTAAGCAGATAGACGGAAACTCTCATTCTTAGATAATTTATAACAATTTTTTTTCAGAGAGGAGTCTTTTTTTTATACTTTGCAGACATACTCTGGATGGTATTAGGAAGTCGCCGGTACAGTTATAAAAAAGGCCCCTCTCTCTTAGAAAAAAAGTTATAAACAAATTAAGTCAGCAGATAGATCGAAACTCTCATTCTTCGAATATAATTTATAACAACTTTTTTTCAGAGAGGGGCCTTTTTTTTATACTTTGCAGACATACTCTGGATGGTATTAGGAAGTCGCCGGTACAGTTATAAAAAAAAGCCCCTCTTACAAAAAAAGTTATTATAAATTATATTCTAAGAATGAGAGTTTCCGTCTATCTGCTGACTTAATTTGTTTATAACTTTTTTTCTAAGAGAGGGGCCTTTTTTTATAACTGTACCGGCGACTTCCAAATACCATCCAGAATATGTCCGCAAAGTATAAAAAGAAGGCCTCTCTCTGAAAAAAAGTTATTATAAATTATATTCTAAAAATGAGAGTTTCCGTCTATCTGCTGACTTAATTTGTTTATAACTTTTTTTCTAAGAGAGAGAGAGAGAGAGAGAGAGAGAGAGAGAGGGAGGGACCTTTTTTTTAAACTATGCAAATAATCTCCTAATATTGTGTAGAAGGTGTGTGCAAAGTTATAAAAAAGGCCCCTCTTAGAAGAAAAGTTATTAATGGATTTCCAAAATCTACCATATTTCTCGAATATATTATGAAAGTCTCGGAAATCATATATACTATTTATTTATCGTATTTTTATTGTTCAAACTGAATTATCATTTTGTAATACTGTTTTCATGTGACATATAACGATTGTTTTGGAATAATGCGCTTATTCGGTGTATTATGCTCAATATAATGATGTAATAGTAATCATTATTGAGCACCGCTGCTCGAGCGCTGCGCGCGCGCGGCCGTCTGCTAAGTTCGTCTGCTAGCTTCAGCCTCATTCTCTCTTAAACTTTTCCCTCTCTTCCCCTCCACCCATGTTTCCATCAATACCATTGCATCCCATCTTTTCAAATTATCCCAAAAATCCCTATCCTTATTACCCAGCCGTGCTACATTCCAAAACACTATCTTCACTTCTTTCCGTCCTCCCATTCGTCTCCCCCTATCCTCCTCTCCTCCCTCTTCATCCTCTGCTCTCTGCTCCCTATTACCCCCTTTCTTCTTTCCTCCTTTCCCCACCACCCCTCTTTGCTCTCCCCCCTTCTTACTCTAATCCTTATCTAATATCCCTTCCCCATCCCTTCCCACCCTCCCACACTATTATTCCCTCCTTCCCTTCCTCTCCTTCTTTTCCCCTTCCTCTCCCTTATTCCTTTCTCCCTCCCCACTCTTATCCCCTTCCCCCCCACTTCCTTTCCCTCCCATTCTTTAGTTCCTCCCTCTTTATCCCATTTCCACTATTACCCTTCTATCTACACCCGCCCCCCTTGTCCTATCCTTGCTTTTCTACCCCCCTTCACTATCGCCTGTCTTATCATCCATCTCATCTTTCTCTCTTTCCACGTCAAATTTTCTTCTATCCAAATATCCCTTCCCTTCAACTTCCATTTACTTCTCAGAATCCTACACTTCTCCTCTACGCTACCCAATGTTACTATCCCCATCCATCCCCTTTCCTGCCTACCTGCCTCTATCTTTATTTTTGTGGCCTTGAGCAGTAAAATGACTTTAAATATTTTAATTGTTTATAATAATCATAATTTAGCAACAATAATAGTATTAATGAATACGTAAATGTAGATAATTCTTTTATATTTAAAATAAGCACAATTTGGACTCTGTAGTATGAATAAAAGTGGAGTTATCGCGATTTTAAGAAGTGCATAAATGGCGAGTTTTTAAAACCTTCCGTATTTTCGAAAATATTGACAAAAAAAATTGCCAAGTACGGTTTATTTTATACAGGAAACGCGTAAAAAAATTTTGTAGTAAATTAAAAATTAAAAATGTTACCCCTTATTAGGTGCTCGATTTGTAAAAGAATACCTCATATTAGAATCTATTACGAGAGGCGCTATTTTATATGGAGAGGGAAAGTGAAATACTTTGTGTATACACAATGCTGTATTATTGGATGTAGGATTGCATAACGAGCGGTTGCCTATCGAGACCAATATAATAAATTAAAATGAGTTTTAAATTCATTACTGATGCCGTTTGCAATTTTATAACGACGGTTCCATTAAATTGTTTTATAAATGAAATCACAATAATAATTTTTTATTTAATTTTTTTATTTACAAAAGCAAAAGCAAAAGTGATCATTTTTATTTCAACGTTCAATAACTAGGCGAAAAAAAAAATCGTGCAACGTTCAATAAAAAGCAAATTGAAGATAAAGATTCACTCTTTTCGATTGCTATAAATAGTATAAATTGTATTTTTACGATTTTTACTTCACGTCATAGACCTTTGTAAAAATTTTGGATTTGACGGATATCAATTTGTGTCCGCATAGTAAAGGATCAGTCAGATTGAAATATCAATTACCAATTTCTATTTTTGAAAAGATTTTTTAAAAGATATTAAGTTTTCAAATGCTTTTTTGATTTTTTCATTTTGATCTACGACGATTTTTCATCGAGTTACGGTGTTTTGAATATTGCACCAATTTGAGCATGTTCGAAAGTATTTTCTATTTTTTATTGAGTAGTGTATAATATCGCAATGCTGAATTCAAACAGTTAATCTTAGAATTTTAGAACGAAATATAAATAAAAAACATAGTTTTGAAATTTGTAAACATTTAAAGCATATGCTTTAATCTATTATAATAATATTCTTTTACGTGAAATTTTCACGTAAAGGAATATGATATAAACAAATTATATCTCTAAAATAATGTTAGCGGACTCGCACACACTTTCCGTAAAAGTAATCGTAAGAATTACGCAATCAACAATTTTCGAAAGTTTTTAACTCTGATTGGTTAACTCTTACGGGACATCTTATGATTACTGTTACGGAAAGTGTGTGCTTCTTATTTAATCTTTAAGATAATGCAATTTAATTTTTATACAAAGTTTGTGTTTCCAAGTTGATATTAAATCGAATTGGATTTTTAAATTAATAACAATTGAACTATATTATATCGCACATTAAGGGGATCCTAAAGACATCTGTATTACCGATTAAACACGTATAATTTTTGTATAACGAATACTCTTTTTCTCTTTCACGGATTGGAAAATCCTTTTCCAGGATTAAAGTATACGCATTAATACGTGTTTGTGAAGTGGAGTCTACGCTGAGAATGATCAAAAATTTCGAAATCAATATATTTTTTTACCATTTCTTAGTGTAACATGGCGTCTCAGCTGTCAAGTCGTGACAACATTTGCTTGATATGAAAATTTTGCAACCCGAACGTACGAAATAATAGTTCCCAAACACGTAATTTGCACGTACATACAACGTCGAGTTTTTAGAATTAGATTTAGACGCTTTATCGCGACAAATTCATTGTACGAAAATTGACACGTATGTGTGACTGCGTGTATCATAGGCTGCGTGAGATATTGCTGTGGTAGTATAAAAAGACATGTCGATGTGCGGCGCGCGGCGCGACATCTGTGATTTCATCAGAGTTCGAGCTTTGCTTTAGGATCCCCTTAAACTTATTCATTAATTCGGAATGTCACTGGAATATGTTAGTTCGGAAACCAAATATCAAACAAGATCATAAGGAGATGCAACACATTATGCTCCATTATAGCTTATTATCTCACCTTCTGAGCATCGGCTTGCGCCACCAATTAGTTACATATGCGACTAGTGTACAATGTCATTAATTTGCTCCAATTCTCCAATTTGCCAATTCCTCTTTCCTCTGTTTCCATTCCTCTGTACATTCAATTTCATTGTAAGATATAACGTGCGCGTGAATAACGATCCAATATCCCTACATTATTATATTCAATCGTGCCTCCGAGGGTAAAGAAAAAAGAAAAAAAACATCCCGTCGCGTTACAGACTGTCCGCAGTCCGAGTATAAACGTGAGACCAACGCCTTATTTCTCAGACTCCCCGGTATCCCTCGGATCAGCAGGCTCGCCGCAGGGGAACCCGACGACGGACGCACCTTCACCCATAAACTTTCCTGCTCCAGGGGAGAGCATGGCCGACACCTCAACTCTGTCGCCGGAAACGAACATGCCGAGCTCGCCGGGCTGCCAGATCAGAGTGACGAGCGAGTATAACCTGCTGGGCAGCCCGAGTCCAGGACCACCGCGAGGAGACTCCCTTCGTGGTATCGGCAGCGGTGATGGCGGAGGTGGAAGAGGAAACGGTCAAGAGGGTCGTGATGCGGGATGTTCGGATCGTGCGTCACCTGACTCGGTCTTCCCGGATGCCGGTCCGATGATGAGCTTCAGGGTCTCCGATGAGCAGCAACAGCAACATCATCAGCAATCTCAACAGCAGCATCAGCAACAACAACAACGCTCCATTACTCCCGTACAGATCAAAACGTCGCCATACTCGCCAATTCCAGCGGTCTCGTCGACTCCGATTGCCCAAGATGCCTCCTCGAGGAGTGACAGCCCAGACTTAAAGGGCGAGCTATCGTCCGTCCAGACCAAGGAAGAATCCGACAATTCGGTCTTCGACGGAGGTGGGGGCTGTAGTAGTGGCGGGGGGGGGGGGGGGGGGGGGGGGGTGGGGGGG